TGGCTTCAAACTTTCTGGGATTTCATTTTTCGGAAGAAAAATAAGATTCTGAAAGTTTGAAACCAATCGGAATCGATTTACGGGTACCTCCCATACAAATTTTTTGAAATTTCGACTAAAATTACCGATTTTTGGACAATTTTGTATGGGAGGTACCCATTAATCGATTCTGATTGGCTTCAAACTTTCTGTGGTTTCATTTTTTGAAGAAAAAATAAGATTCTGAAAGTTTCATGTTGATCGCATTTGCAGAAGTTTGATTTTTTGTCCTCAATTTTTGTCGACATTTTTTTGGAAAAAAATTAAGGGCCAAAAACCAAACTTCTGCAAATGCGATCAACATGAAACTTTCAGAATCTTATTTTTTCTCCAAAAAATGAACCCTCAGAAAGTTTAAAGCCAATAAAAATCGGTTTACGGGTACCTCTCATACAAAATTGTTGAAGTTTCAGTTAAAGTGACCGATTTTTCACTTTATTTTCATTATTATATTTTCACTGCCTTTATTTCAAGAAAATTCACAAAAAATAACCAAAAGTACCTACGGACAACGCAGGCCAACGGTACGGAAAAGTTCGGGATTACCAATGTAATTCGTTTTATTTTCATAGCATTTTTGACCTTAAAATATAACTATTTTGAACATTTTCCATACAAAAGTGTCATTTTCGAACGAAATTTCAAAAACTTAAAGAAATGTTGATTTCGGACCAAATTTATGGCAAGTAGGTGTTCGGTTGTTTGAAGGCTCCCATTATTTTTGCAAAAAAATGGCAGTTTGCCTTGATCGAAACCCTGAAAAATGCTTTTTTCGGGTACTTCCCGTACAAAAGTGTCATTTTTCAAGGTTTTACAGGTCCTCAGTCGGAGGCTTATGGTACGAAATTGGTAAATCAGAATGGGCTCAAAATCAATCCGAAGCTTGGTCTCGACATGCCAAAACTTTTCGCTTTTACAGATCTCAATTATCTTGTCAACTTTTTGAGATAATCGGAGAACAAAAAACGCGGACGCGAACGACGCCATACGAACATCGCTATTTTACACATTTTTCATAGTAAACAACATGTTTTTGGAGGCAGATAGGTCTTGATCGATAGGATTTGTTCCCATCTACATTGTCTAGTGTACAGATATGTGCTTTTTGAAGTTTGGTGTGACGTTATAGTGGTCCGAAAGAGGAGATGTCATGAAATTTTGGCTAGTAAAACCAATACTTTTCCATGCAAACAAAGTTTGCGGAAAAGTAAAATGTGCAAAATTGCGATGTGCGTATGGCGTCGTTCGCGTTTTTTGTTCGCCGATTATCTCAAAAAGTTGACAAGATAATTAAGATCTGTAGAAAATGACACTTTTGTATGGAAAATGGTCGAAATAGTTATATTTTAAGGTCAAAAATGCTATGAAAAAAGGGTCTATTGAAATTTTGGTTAAACATTAAACGGAAGGTAAACTAAATTGCTGTGGAGCGGAAAAGTTTGGATTACGTATGTAATTCGTTTTATTTTCATTTCGTTCCTCGTTCATTTAGCTTTCTTCGCTGCTTTCTTGATTACGGGCTAAACGCCGCCATAATTTCTCCCACCATTGACCCCATTAGTTAACTATATTGGTATTGTGATCAAAAGGAAGTCCATTCCGCAAGAAATTAGCTAGTATTGCAACGCGATTTCTTTTCATAGAAAATTACATGATTTTTTGAATAATATAATGTGATTCAAGTCTATGTTCTTAGTTACAAAAGCTCTGTGGTTGATACAGAACTAATTGTTCAATTACTTCATTAATTTATATCATTTAACAAAATCGCGATACGGTTGGCAACTCATGCATATGACACGCTTGCTCCGCCGTAACATTACATTTGACTCCTGGGCTGGAATTCTAAGTCATTCCACCAAAATCGTTCGAAATTATTTTTTTCGTACATAAGACCATATTGGAGTGAAAGAGAGAGATTCCACTATTTTTCAGCGTGCCACCGGAATTATTCCGATAACTCAAGGAAGAGTGGACTGTAACTCAAGGATGAGTGGATTGTGTGAGAAATAATTCCGGTAGCACGCTGAAAAATAGTGGAACCTCTCTCTTTCACTCCAATATGGTCTTATGTACGAAAAAAATGATTCCGAACGATTTTGGTGGAATGACTTAGAATTCCAGCCCTGTTCAATGGTGATAAAATGGATATCAACGTATTTGATAAATGCGTTAAATTTATTTATCAGATTTTCTTTGTACAAATCGATGCGCTCTGCTTAGTAGATGCCTACCTTCGTATCGCCATGCACCCACGTTTACATTGGTCATTCAAAGTTTCAGTTCTATTTGATACGTTATCAATTTCATTAAATGGGGTAACAGACTTATATTTTATTTTCTTCTCAATGTTCGTGATTTATTTTCGTTCTTGGATTTTGCTTACGGCATATGACTCAAACAAATCACATTCAAATTTAGCTCGGATGCACATTAGGGTCACAAAAATTTAAAAAACATTCTACTCCATACCAATACCTATACTGTAAGCAATTAAAAAGACAAATAACTTGAGCTGTTTTTTGACAGAATATTAATCGATGGTCCAACAAAGCAACAATATTGGTTGGTATGGTCATAGATGGACAAAAAAATGTTTTGAAATTAATTCTACACTACAATTGAAAAGGGGAATAGAAGGAAATCATCCGATTATTCAGCTAAATTGATTCAGCTATTCGTCACCTGAAAAATACACATCGATCAAAAATTCAATTCTCTTATTTTGTGAAGAAATATGCAACATTACCATTGTTAGTAGCCAATGAATCTATTCCAATTGCTCTTCAATATTAATTTTGTTTCCTTTACCGATAAAAAGTTTGGCGACCTCATTGTTACCTAAAAATAATACAGATCAATGGAAAAGATCAAAGCGATATCTTATTTAGTCAGCTTTACCATTGATAAGAGCTATTTGAAGGGGTACACGATTCGCATTATTTTTAACACCAGTATTGGCTCCTTTACGGATGAGAAATTCAGCGACACTCTTATGACCTGAAAAATAATTTAGATGGATGAAAAAGATCAAATCAATCTTCTATTTGGTAAAGACAAGTATCCAATTATTACCATTCCGAGCAGCTAAATGAAGAGGTGTGTCTTTCACAGTATTTTCACTATTAACATTGGCTCCTTTACGGATGAGAAGTTCAGCAACATTCTTGTAACCTGAAAAATAGCAGATCGATGAAAAAAAATAAAACTGTGTTCCAATTTAGTGAGAACAAATAATCAAGATTGTCGTGGACTTTTGCATTAGTTTTAAGTGTTTTCTTTTGTTGATTTTAATTTCATATTTGTTTCATGGATTTTCAATTTGCTCATTTAGTTTGTTCAATCAAATCGCCGAACGCTGAACGCACTCACATTTGCTCTCGTTTCAAATGCGTTCTGCGACTTGACTGACATTTCGTTGTGTGTTTGTGTGAGTAATATTCGCGCTAAGACGCTAATACAAAGGTAAGTGTACTGCGATGCGGCGACAATTCAAAGAGAGAGAAAAAATGAAATCAGTTCTTCATGAGTCTCAGCACAGGACAGTTTCTTATTGAACTAGCAGCACAAGTTGTGCACATTTTGATTAGGAAATCTCTTCGAATTGGCCAGCTGTAAAGTTTAGACGGCCAATTTAATTGTTTGTTTAAACGTGAGTTTGAATCGAAGGCACATTCAAGTTGAATTGCACTTTGAGAAGTTCTCATCGACCGATTCGATACTTGCTTTGAACGAACATTCGCATTTTTTCACCAACATTTTTATTTCATTCAACCAAATAAATCGTCACACTTCCACCACAAACACATCGAACGCACGAACATTCATAGCAGCCACAACTCGCAAACATTAGTTCAGAAATTGTGATCGACCGTTCAAATAAAATTCCACAAAAGAAATTCAAATATTTTCTTTTTCATATTAAATTCAATCGGTTGCAAAAAGGTAACGTTATTTCATCACAAACATTACCATCCAAAGCAGCCAAATGAAGGGGTGTATTATTCCAATGATTTTCCATTTCATAATTAGCTCCTTTACTGAGTAGAAGTTCAGCGACATTCTTATGACCTGAAAAATAACTTTGACCGATAAATAAGATCAAATCAATCTTTCATTTAGTGAAAACAACTCATAAAATCTCGTAGACAGCGTTTTCAAGGTGTAGAAACGTATATGGACACTATTCCGGAGCACAGCAATCTGTAATGTGTAAGCTATGTGCACACGACTTATGGTGTGGCTGAAAAACCCGATATGCAATTGAATCACACCATATCGTGTGAACGCTTACCGTACTTCTGAATACTGAGTGTAGGTGTGAGTACAGCCAGCACTCACACGATAAGGTGTGATTCAATTGCACATCGGTTTTTTTCGGCCTACCATAAATCATGTATACATAGCTTACACATTACACGATTGCTGTGCTCAGAAATAATGTCACGAGATTTTATGAGAAGTATTCAAAATTACCATTGCGAGCAGCCAAATGAAGAGGTGTCGCTTGGAGATTATCCTCACTATCAACAATGGCTCCTTTACGGATGAGAAGTTCAGCAACATTCTTGTGACCTGAGAAAGAACACAGATCGATGAAAAAAGAGATCAAATCAATCGTTTATTCAATGAAAATATTTATTATTACCATTGTAAGCGGCGTAATGAAGAGGTGTTTCCTTCAAATTATTTTCAATATTAACTTCGGCTCCTTGATCGATGAGTTTTTGAGCTTCCTTCACATTTCCTGAAAAATAATGCAGACCAATGAAGTAGATTGAACAAAACATTTTTTTAAAGCATAAATACTCAAAATTACCAGTCTGAGCAGCTCTATGCAGAGCTGCCTCTCCATTTATGTTTCTTTGGTTTACTAAAAGGTGAAAAAAATTGTGGATCAGTGAAGTGAATCGAAAGCAAATGTTGCTGTGTGTGAAACTTGATAAAGAAATGGAGCTCCAACTCTTACCGTTTCTCCCAGATGGTGCTCCATTCACATCCACGATCAGGAACTGTGGAAATGACACAAAGTGATTAAATTGGAATGGAACAATGGATGAGATTGTAATGGTTTTCAGCTGTTTTTCATTCGAGTAAAAGTTTCCGATGGACATTATTTTTGTAGTGGAAGATTTTTTTCAATTGAAAAACTTTAAAATGGACATTTGCTCATTAATGAAATGAGTTTCGAAAAAATTATCACAAATTGTCCACAAAAAGATTGAAATTTAAAAGATTCGATCCAAAATTTACAAGTGAAAAAAATTCCGAACAACATTAAAATTACAAATTTCAGACTAAAATTGTCGTCTCACCTCCGATACCACCAAGCCAACGAGCAGCAGTGTGAAAGATCTTTGATTCAGCATTTTGCCAGCTTCGAACTATCAAAAGTGTACTGTAAACGTGTCAATTGAAGAAAATTGACAAACTGTTTGATTGACAAACGAATCGAGCGCATCTGCTTATATACTTTTCAAGTATGGTCACATCAGCATACATTAATGATATAATTCAATCCACATACAAAGACAATTCTAATTAGAGCTCACAGAATATTATCGCACACATTTTTCAAGAAAACAATGTCAAACAATTGATGGATTTACAATTCCACCTGTGCACGTTTCGATAAATTCCACCTGTGCACGTGTGCAGAATTTGGCGTTCCTTATCAAATGGATCGCATCGAAAATACGTTGTTCACGTTCATTCCTTCATCATCTTCACTATGGTTCGAAAAACAACGTAATTCGATCGCAATGAATTGAAAATTTAAGCAAATATTTTTCACTCTTGAAATGTTGAGTGGTGTTTATTCGATGTAGCTATTTGAATATGAAAATTGTCACATCTTTGCGGCATGCTCAAAACGCGTTCCGTTTCAAAGTCGTTTCAAAGCGAAAAAAATTTACAACAGATGGATCGTCGCTTACTGTAAGCGGCTTACATGATGTAAATTTGAAAGCGTTTGATCAAACAATATGACTCATACCATTGTGTTACATTCAGGCTCTCATACCATCGTTGCGTTGAACAAACATCCAATAGTTACAATATTAGCTCATACAAGGATATATGGAATCAAATTAACTTTACATCACTCAAAAAGGTGAATCCAAACGAAACCATTGCCTTAATTTTAATTATAATAAGCAACAGTGGAATGCTTCGTATACTGATACATGTATTTGGTTGGAACTCGGTTGACCGAAGCGTCATCTAAAGAACCGATGGCGAATTCGTGATGTCTGTATGTTATACTTCAGTATGACGTTTGACAGAACGGAGAGTTTACTTGATTGTATTGTCATTAGCCTTAGATTATCTAGATGGTGTATGCTAGGGGAATTTCTCACGTAAAAACTGTGAAGATGTTCGAAGATGTTTGAAACTGTGAAGATGTGGAAGTTATCGAAACTATGTGGATTTGTAAAGATTTTAAAATTTTTTTGAGTTTTCAAGATGGCGGATTTTGTGAAATCCAAGATGGCGTCGGGTGATCTCGCCTGAACTGTCTTGTTTTCAACACTAAATATGCATGGATTTTCTAAATTTGGGCAAAACTACGTAGATTTCAGAAACTGTGGAAGATTTTGAAAGATTTCAAAACTATTTTCGATGAGAAATTCCCCTAGGGTGTATGCGCTCCAGCGCCGTAGCCAGGCCGGCGCAATGGGTGCATTGCACCTCCCAAAAATTTCACCGGTGCAAAATTTTTTTTGTTGAATGACCAAAAAAATCTAAAATTACAAATCTTTGAAGCAATAGTCAAGCAAAACATGTTCATTAAGTAAAAAAGAAAACAATAAATAAGTATATAGCAACAAAAAAAAAAATTTCGATTTTGCACCCTCCAATTTTTTTTTCTGGCTACGGCGCTGATTGCGCTCAATATCAGTTGTCAAATTCAAAGTGAATAGGAGAGTTGATTATAAGTAACACTTTCTATAGAGATATGGACAGCTTTTCAACTATTCTGAGATTCCAATGAATGTACCTACAGTGTACTGTACACATCAGCAATACATTAATGATATTATTTAGTCCACATACAAAGACAACTCCAATTAGAGCTCACAAAATATAATCGCACACATTTTTCAAGAAAACAATGTCAAACAATTGATGGAATTACAATCCCACCTGTGCACGTGTGCAGAATTCGGCGTTCCTTATCAAATGGATCGCATCGAAAATACGTTGTTCACGTTCATTCCTTCATCATCTTCACTATGGTTCGAAAAACAACGTAATTCGATCGCAATGAATTAAAAATTTAAGCAAATATTTTTCACTCTTGAAATATTGAGTGGTGTTTATTCGATGTAGCTATTTGAATATGAAAATGTTCACATCTTTGCGGCATGCTCAAAACGCGTTCCGTTTCAAAGTCGTTTCAAAGCAAAAAAATTAACAACAGATGGATCGTCGCTTACATGATGTAAATTTGAAAGCGTTTGATCAAACAATATGACTCATACCATTGTGTTACATTCAGGCTCACGTACCATCGTTGCGTAGAAAAAACATCTAATAGTTACAATATTAGCTCATACAAGGATATATGGAATCATATCACAGCCGGCGACAGCAGGCGCGAGTGACGAAAGCACCTCTGTGCTGAAAGTCGAACTCGCTATATAATACACGCAATTTCGAACTTTTTTCCTACGCGGGAATTTGGTATGAATGGATTATCGCTAGAAAGGCACTGACTCATAGGCCCAGAAAATGCATTCAAACTTGGAAATCGATCAACCGTCTCCATAGATATGACCTCTTGAAAATTTGGAGTAATTCTCAGTTTTTCCTATTTGCCGGTGTTCGGACGGGGCCCGTTCATCTTAAAACATATTTTTTCTAAAACTACTCGTCGAGACCTTTCCAACAAGCCCAAGAACGTTGAAATCGGACCATACATTCATGAGATATGGTCATTTGAAAATTTTCTTTGCCGCCTCCACCATTATTCTGAGATAATGATTTTGTAGGTACATGTCATCAGCACCGCCCGGAAATAGTGTTGGTAAACCAGAACATGTAAAAAATAGTGCTCGAATAGTGCTGGCGAATGGCGTTTTCAGATTGCAAAAATTTTGACTGGAGGCCGAGCACTATTCGTCGACAATTTTTCCGAAAATGTCTACAATTATTGAAATTCAATTTTATTGAATGAATCTTGGAAATGAAATGCAAAAATTTACGAAAAAAAATATTTGCGAACAAAAAGAATAAAATTCATTTCGTTTTGACAGTGAATTGAAAGTTTATTGCATTAAAAATGAAAAAAAATGTTGCTCCGCGTGCGAATAGAACCCGAGACCATGCGAGTCACCGTCTGCAGTGCTATTCACGTGTTGTTTTTAGTTTTTTCAATAAGGCGACAATAGTATGTTTTAACATAACGCGTGCGGCAAATTTTGATACGCGTTCGTTTTGTTTGTCAGCGTATTGATTTTGTTGAAAAAAAATTTTGGTACAAAACAGCTGATATCAAATAAAAACACTTCTTTCGAAGTCATTCCTCGTGACGAAAGCGAACACAAAACAACATTTCGGAGCGATTTGGATTGCTATTTTGCACTATTCCAACTAATTTCTAAATCGCTCCGTAATGATTTTCGAAAATTGATATCACGTACCATCAGAGCCATTTCTAGCTTCGCTGGCGCCCTGGTTCAAAATCCGTTGGCGCCCTTTCAAACTGGAATTTTTAAAAGTGTGTGAAAAAATCTCAAAAATGATACATTTGATCCAAGTTTATTTGAAAAGCAACAAAAAAATGATACATTAAAATGACTTAAAGAAATGTCTTTTTTCTCGCTTTTGAAGTGGCAAATTCTTCAATCACGTCGTCATATTGAATCGAATTTGCTACATCGCTTTCTATCGATATGATTGCCAGATGATTGAGCCTGTCTTGACCTATTGCATTTCTGAGATAAGTTTTAGTTAACTTTAGCTTTGAAAACGATCGCTCTCCCGTTGAAACAGAAACTGGGATCGTCAGCAGAATGCGAAGCGCAATAACAGCATTTGGAACTAAGTTTTCCATTTTTCGCTTCTGAATTGAATTCAGTATATCGATTGCGTGAATAATATTATCCTGATTAACCAAACTTGAAACCAATGAAAGTTCTACAAATAAATCGTCACCATCGATATCGGATTTTCCATCATGAGTTAAAGCAATTTCTAGTTTCTTGCATGATTTCTGCAAACTACCGTTGTTTCGGTTTGCTTCATAGTTTTCAAAATCATAAAGAAACGAGAATAATTCGCTGTGTTGCTTTAGTGCTTTGAAACGATCAGTGACTGAATCAGTTGCGGATTCAATGATTGGTAAGAAAACTTTTGTTTCAAATTCCTCTGCATTTGTAACAGTTGTTCTACCCGCTCGACGTTTTTGATGATCAAATTCAACTTCAATCGAAATGCGTTCGCAAATTTCCGTTGCTTCATTGAGAACCTTTTCGCAGCCATTTTCTTTATAACTTTCAAGAAAACTCATCACACTTTCAAGAGATGTCAGAGCCGTTTGAACATTTGACTGAATTGTTTGTAATGCTTTGGACGCTATGTTTGTGTGGCTCAAAATGTCATACCAAAAGCAAGTACAGCAAATGAAAATAAAATCAATTTTGTCGGCGAGTGTTCCCGCTTCAAATCGGACATCTTTGTTGAAGCTCTCAGTATCTTCGATTTCCCTCAGTGCAGCAATAATTTCACCAGAGTTTTTACACAGCGGTTTGATTGCGTTGATTGCGTTGACCCTAACGCCTCTAATTCAGTGGTAGCTGCGCCAGTAATCAACAGACCAGTCTTAGCTGATGAGATGTCGGTAAATTTCACAAAGCTCTCTTTTATTTCCCATCTTTGATTTGCTTTATCCAAGTGAACGTAGCGCAAAATCATACACATTTGTTAATGCATAGAGTCAGAAAAACAATGTGACATGTGATACATTTGAGAGAGTTGACAGCGCGACAATAGCGCGGCGATTCGTCATAATTCAATTTTATGCAAACACTTACCCAATTTTTTTTTTACATTTTCGCTGTGCGGCTGATGTTTTCATATGCTAGTGTGCTTAAATAGCAGTAATAGCATTACGACCGCTGGTCGATGAGCGACACATTCAATAACAATATTTTTACTTACGTATGCACAAATGATTCGCCGAGAATAAAAACATCGTACTGAATTGGTCGCTGTATTGAATGCAACACATAGTTTTTTCTACATAGAGTTCAATAGCTCCGTATGAAAAAAAAACTGGGTTTCGTTTTGTTTAGCATTTTTTTTTCGGACGCTGTTTTAATTGCCACTTGTTCGAATCAAAACTCATACCATTAAACTTTATCGAGCGCTCTTTTAAATGCATTCGTCTTCTCAGTTTGAAACTCAACGGCACCGAAAAAGGCAGGGGCGACGAAAACAATCAATAAAGCGATTCTTTATTTTAAAATAATATATTCTCTATTTTAAAATAAATAATTGCTTCCCATTGTCGCCCTTGAATATTTTTCGGCGCCCTTGTGTTCCAAATTTGAATGAAAAACGGCGCTCGAGCGCCTTCGGCGCTCTCACGCTTCATTCAAGAACATTGAAAATTTTTAATTTATAAAAAAAGCGCTCGAGCGCCTTCGGCGCCCACCGACAATTCGGAGCGCCCACGAGCGCCTTCGGCGCTCGTGCGCCCTGGTTCTTTGAACCACTTGAACCCCCGCTAGAAATGGCTCTGCGTACCATCGTTGAACAAACATCCAATACACTGTAAGTTTTCGGAGGGGAATGACTAATCTAGATACAGTGCAAAATAGCGGTTTCAACTATTTTTGGATGAATTTACACTAATTTTAGGGAAATATGTGTTATTGCTTATGCGAACGCTCAAGTGGCTACTATTCATATACGTGTCAATACATAGACACGCACTGGTCACCAAGCCTGTGCAGTTGTATGTATTGTAAATTTTGCACACAGCAACTCGTTCAATACATAAAACTGCACAGAATTGGTGACCAGTGCGTGTCTATGTATTGACACGTATATGAATAGTAGCCACTTGAGCATTCGCATAAGCAATAACACATTTTCCCCTAAAATTAGTGTAAATTCATCCAAAAACAGTTGAAACCGCTATTTCGCACTGTTTCTAGATTACTCATTCCCCTCCGAAATTTTGGTGTGTAGTTACAATATTAGCTCATACAAGGATATATGGAATCATATTAACTTTACATCACTCAAAAAGGTGAAACTCATAGGAGATGAGTGGGAACTGTCTGAAGCAAAGTTGCGCAAGGCCTCGAGCACTATTAATTTGCTGAAGACGCCGAGTCATTATATCTTATCAGTTCAGCGAAAAACGCAAAAAATCGCAAATGTACAACAAAATTCATGTTGAAATTCAGATTATTTTTTATCATTTATTCTGTATAATTTATTTTCGTTCTTGCATTTTGCCTACGGCATATGACTCGAACAAATCGCGTTCAAATTTAGCTCGGATGCACGTTAAGGTCACAAAAATTAAAAAAAAAATCCACTCCATACCAATACCTATACCGTAAGCAATTAAAAAGAAAAATAACTTGAGCTGTTTTTTGACAGAATATTAATCGATGGTCCAACAAAGCAACAATATTGGTTGGTGTGGTCATAGATTGACAAAAAAATGTTTTGAAATTAATTCTACACTACAATCGAAAAGGAGAATCGAAGGGAATCATCCGATTATTCAGCTGAATTGGTTCAGCTATTCGTCACCTGAAAAATACACATCGATCAAAAATATCAAACCAATTTCTTATTTTGTGAAGAAAAAATATGCAACATTACCATAGTTAGTAGCCAATGAATCTATTCCAATTGCTCTGCAATATTAATTTTGTTTCCTTTACCGATAAAAAGTTTGGCGACCTCATTGTTAGCTAAAAATAATACAGATCAATGAAAAAGATCAAAGCGATATCTTATTTAGTCAGCTTTACCATTGTTAAGAGCTACTTGAAGAGGTGTAAGATTCTCATTATTTTTAATACCAGTATTGGCTCCTTTACGGATGAGAAGGTCAGCGATACTCCTATGATCTGAAAAATAATTTAGATGGATGAAAAAGATCAAATCAATCTTCTATTTGGTAAAGACAAGTATCCAATTATTACCATTCCGAGCAGCTGAATGAAGAGGTGTGTCTTTCGCAATATTTTCACTATTAACATTGGCTCCTTTGTTAATGAGAAGTTCAGCAACATTCTTGTGACCTGAAAAGTAATTTGGATGGATGAAAAAAATCAAATCAATCTTCTATTTGGTAAAGACAAGTATCCAATTATTACCATTCCGAGCAGCTAAATGAAGAGGTGTAAAATTCGCATTATTTTCAATACCAGTATTGGCTCCTTTATGGATGAGAAATTTAGCGACACTCCTATGACCTAAAGAATAATTTAGATGGATGAAAAAGATCAAATCAATCTTCTATTTGGTAAAGACAAGTATCCAATTATTACCCTTCTGAGCAGCTAAATGAAGAGGTGTGTCTTTCGCAATATTTTCACTATTAACATTGGCACCTTTACGGATGAAAAGTTCAGCAACATTCTTGTAACCTGAAAAATAACACAGATCGATGAAAAAAAAATAAAACTGTTTTCCTATTTAGTGAGAACAAATAATAAACATTACCATTCTGAGCAGCTAAATGGAGGGGTGTATTAGTAAAATAATTTTCCATTTCATAATTAGCTCCTTCACTGAGTAGAAGTTCAGCGACATTCTTATGACCTGAAAAATAACACAGATCGATAAATAATATGAAATCAATCTTCTATTTGGTAAAGGCAAGTATCCAATTATTACCATTCTGAGTAGCTAAATGAAGAGGTGTGTCTTTCACATAATTTTCACTATTAACATTGGCTTCTTTACTTATAAGAAATTCAGCAACATTCTTGTGACCTGAAAAATAACACAGATCGATGAAAAATAAAATAAAACTGTGTTCTTATTTAGTAAGATCAAATAATCAACATTACCCTTCTTAGCAGCTAAATGAAGGGCTGTATTATTCCGATGATTTTTCAATTCATAATTAGCTCCTTTACTGAGTAGAAGTTCAGCGACATTCTTATGACCTGAAAAATAATTTTGATCGATGAATAAGATCAAATCAATATTTTATTTAGTGAAAACAACTTATAAAATCTCGTAGACAGCATTTTTAAGGTGTGGAAACGTATATGGACACCATTCCGGAGTATAGCAATCGTGTAATCGACGATTCCACACCAAGTGTAACAAAAAATGGATTTGACCTCTCCGATTTTGCTCAAACTTGGTGTATAAACTTGCTATGGCCAAAAACTCGCAAAGCCAAAAAATTAGATAATGGATGGAGCAACAAAAAATTCTTCGACGACCACCCCATCCGGGCCCATTCAGGCTCAGAAAAGTGGGTTCAAAGTATAAAAAGTGAAAAAAGTCAGATAGACGTAGAAATTTTTTTTCGTTTTTTTGCTTAAAAGTCGGCCCACCTCGAGTTCTTCAATTAATCGAAGAGAAATTACTACTTCCACCCTGTACTTTTTTCAGAATAAAGCGACCTGGGCGGTCAAAATTTGCCATTTTTCATGGTTTTTCGACTATATATTGGGTGTATAACTTTGCTTCCGCCGTTTTTTTTCAATTTTTGAGGCTTTATTGTGAAAAATTTGTACAATATAATTTATTCAAAGTACTGTCCATCAGAAGCTATGACTTTTCCCCACAATTCAGGCAATTTATGGATTCCGTCCCAAAAAAATTTCTCGTCTTTTGAGGCCAGGAATGAATCAAGCCAATTTTTGATTCCTTCGACTGAAGTGAAGCGTATTCCGGTAAGGGCGTTCTGCATCGATCGAAATAAGTGGTAGTCGGAAGGAGCAAGGTCTGGGCTATAAGGCGGGTGAGGCAAAATTTCCCATCCGCTATTTTCCAAGTAGGTTTTGACCGATGCTTCAATATGTGGCCGAGCATTGTCATGGTGGAAAATCAATGACTCGTGTCTGGTCTCCCATTCTGGCCGTTTTTCCTTCAACGCTCGCTTCAAACGTATCAATTGTGTTCGGTAGAGAGGTCCTTTGATTGTTTGACCACTTGGAAGCAACTCTCAGTACACCACTCCCTTCTGGTCCCACCAAATAGAGAGCATTACCTTCGAAACGTGAATATACCGCTTTGGCGTCGATTTGGCTGGTTGGCCGCGCTTTACATACGATTTTTGCGCTTTGGATTATCGTAGTAGATCCACTTTTCATCGCCAGTCACAATAAGATGCAAAAACGACTTTTTTTGTGCCGTTCCAGCAACATTTCAGACATGCAAAATCGTCTTTCGACGTGTTTTAGCTCCAATTCGTGTGGCACCCAATTTCCTTGCTTTTGGATGAATCCCAATGCTTTTAATCGTTTCGAAATGGCTGGTTGCGTGACTCCCAATGATTCCGCAAGCTCTTCTTGCGTTTGA